AAATATTCATAGCACCCTCATTTCTTATCCAATTTCTATAAAATATGGCTTAAATTAAAGCTGAGAAAATTGTGATATGTTAAAAAATATGTATTTGCTCGAGATAAATTTATAAGCAGTCTGGGAACTTTTCATTATAGGTTTTTGCTCTTTTTTTCCCTCCACCGTACATTTCATAAGCTAAGCGGTTGAGGGGCTGGCCACATTTATTTTATGACCAGCTGGAGGAATTTGTTTTCAGTCACTTCAGTGTGAAGGAGGAACCAGGAAACAAATGCAAAATTAGAATTATCTATATGTGACACACATATAGACTTAGTTTTATGTGATGGAAAGGGGCTTCGACTGTAAATACTTTAGCAGAACCCTACAATGAAAAGTTCCCAGACTGCTTAATACATATCTTTTACATATCAGAACATCGTCAATTTTCTCAGCTTTAATTTAAGCCACATTTTTTAGGAATCTGATAAGAATTGAGGGTGCTATGAATATTTTTGTGACCGATTGATGCGCATCCCGCATTGAAACTTTACCGTTTTGTTGACATGACTCAATGCACAGCAATGGCTCCTATGATGGCACGTCGCTAGCTATAGCGGCTATAGACGATGTCCAATCCTGTAACATAGATCAATGTTTAAGCATTCACACTGCATTTTTGCAAGAAATGCAAATTCTCCAGTTTTGATTGACATCAGTATTTTATTCTCCACCATTTGTAAGGGTCAGCTTACACTTCTTATAACAAGGTTATAAGAGTAATTTAATTAACAAGGGATCACTTTTTATTTTGGGTAAACATTTCTCTGGTGCAAAAATGAATGGACACAAAAAGTAACTCTGTCAGTGAATGTTGATTTGAACCATAGTATGCGATCATTTATTTTACAGATCATACAAAATTGACTAGAGTACACCTGATTGTGAACAATTAATTTCCTATAAAAGTTTTGGGACCAACAATAACAAGCTTTTAACTTAATTGTTAACCACACTTAAATAGAAACACAAACGTCAGTTTAGATGTTAAACACCAGACATTTGAGGCAAGTTATCTTAGGGATGGCAGAGAAGAGTTTTAGAAAAGGAGGAAAGGTATTAGCTTTCTTATACTTTATCTTTTTTTTGTCACTTCGGTAGAAAACGAAACCAAATATTAGTTTTAGTTTATTTCTTCACCATCAGTGACTTTTTTAAGTGAAGAGAAAAACAGAAGTAATTAGAAAGATTGAAATAGCGATTAGAAGTATATTAAATAAACACCAACAAAACACAGGACCACACACCCAACATCTGT